AAAATTTTTATCATCTATCCCTGGATAAGGAGCTCTGGTAGCATAGTGGCTAAGGCACTTGACTGCTCACCAGAAGGCTGGCGGTTCAAACCCACCAGCCACTCCTCGGAAGGAAGGTTGGGCAATCCTACTTCCGTAGTGATACTGCCTCGGAAACCCAAGGAGGGGTCGCTATGAGTCGGGGCCGACTCGACGGCAAATAACAACAACAACAATCCCTGGATAGTCTAATATGGTGTTACTAGCAACACTAGGAGCTCTGGTAGCATAGTGGCTAAGGCACTTGACTGCTAACCAGAAGGCTGCCGGTTCAAACCCACCAGCCACTCCTCGGAAGGAAGGTTGGGCAATCCTACTTCCATAGTGATACTGCCTTGGAAACCCAAGGAGGGGTCGCTATGAGTCGGGGGCCGACTCGATGGCAAATAACAACAACAGCAACACTAGGAGCTGTGGTGGTGTAGTGGTTAAGGCATTTGGCTATTAACCGAAAGGTCTATGGTTCGAACCCACCAGCTGCTCTGTAGAATAAAGAGGAGGTAATCTGCTTCTGTAAAGATGTACAGCCTTGGAAACCCAGTGGGGGTCGCTAGGAGTCGGAATCAACTCAACTGCAGTGAGTTTGAGTTCTTGCAACATGTGGCTGTTTCAATTTTAATGTTAATTAAAATGAAATACAATTTTAAAATCAGTTCCTCAGTTGCACTAGCTACATTTCAAGGGCTTAATAGCCCTTAACTGGCCAGTGGCTATCATATGGGACAGAAGGAAATATTTTCATCCTATCAAAAAGTTCTGTGGGCAGCTCTGTTCTAAACACCCATTCCTCTACTGGAAAACCCTTCCTAAGATATTCTTTGAACCAACGTTCCCTTCTCTTCTTCTGATTCCCTTCTTGCAAATCTAAAACAAAACTTTGATCTACACTCCTAATGTTAAATTGTTGTTATGTGCCCTTGAGTCGGACCCGACTCATAGTGACCCCTCCTTGGGTTTCTGAGGCAGTATCACTATGGAAGTAGATGGCCTCATCTTGCCTCATCTTCCTTCTGAGGAGTGGCTGGTGGGTTTGAACCACCAGCCTTCTGGTTAGCAGTCAAATGCCTTAGGCACTATGCCACCAGAGCTCCTATGTTAAATAGCGTGTGCTTTAATGTCACCTCTCACAGAGTAAGCAAAACCTAGCCCCCTGCTGTTGAGTCGATTTCCACTTATTGCAACCCTATGGGACAGAGTGGAACTGCCCCTCTGGGTTTCCAAGGCTGTAATCTTCACAGAAGTAGACTGCCCCTTCTTTGTCCTGTGGAGTGGCTAGTAGGTTCAAACCACTGACCTTTCAGTCAGCAGCCAAATGCCTTAACCACACACCATCAAGGCTCCTTCTTGCAGGATAGTTAATACTGGAGTGAAGGAGCTGAGTGCTGAGAAGTCGTAAACCAGAGAGCATGGGGGCCTTGGAGGGGGCTCCTTACATCAGCAAAGGTGTCAGGGGACCATCTCAGACCACATGAGGCCTGTTCACAGGAGGCCCAGAGCAGTGGCCGGCACGGAGAAGTCTAGATTTCTAGCTCTGGTGACGTAGTGCCTAAGGCATTTGACTGCTACCCAGAAGGCTGGCAGTTCAAACCCACCAGTCACTCCTGGGAAGGAAGATTGGGCAATCTACTTCCGTCTCAGAAACCCAAGGAGGGGTCGCTGGGAGTCAGATCCAACTCAACGGCAGTGAGTTTGAGTACCTTTTTACTCTTACCACCTGTGCTCCCACCAGGAGGAAATCTAAGAGGTGATGAGATGTGCGAATGGGGACTGTCTTTGGGACAAGCCTACAATGCAAGTTTTTATTCCTATCCTTCCCATGTTATGAATGAGGACATAAGGCACCAGGAGGATGGAGAGGACAGAGATCCGGAGAGGGCGTCTGGGGCTTCACCTCCCAAAGAAGACTGGTGCCTGGGCAGGCCAGGACCAGATTTTAAGGGCATAAGGCAGTCCATCAAGTAAATTCCGTGACCAGCCAAGCTCCTCGTGCCTTGGGTCCTTTGCCCCGGATCCTCCCTCTGTCCGTAACTCTCTTGCCCAGCTCATCCTGGCTTCTTCCTCCTTGAGGCTCAGCTCAGATGTCACCTCCCCAGAGATCTTCCTGAGCATCTTGTTGGTGGTGCCCCATGTCTCAGACCCTGTTGATTTCTTCAGAGGACCCCTCACTTCAGAACTTGCCCCATTACCTGCTTGATGTCTGTCTCCCCAACCGGAATGTACAACCCGGAAGGACAAGGACCTCCTTTGTCTCCCTCACAGGGGTCTCCCAGCACCCAGCACAGGGCCTGGTGCTTAGTAGGGGCTCAGTAAATGCTGGTGGGATGTGTGACGTCCCTGCTTTCTCTGCTGCGGGAGGGAGCTGGGGAAACAGGAGGCGTGGTCAGGTTTCAACAGCGTCCCTGAGAGACTGGGATGTGGGTTTAAAGCCGAGCGGAAGGTGGGAGGCATCTCCCTCCAGTTTCCCTTTCCCGCTTCCTAGGACACAGGAAGCGATGCTGTAGCAGCGGCCTCAGCTGACAGGCTGCGTCTTCCTCAGCAAGTGGAGCAGGAACAGTGGGCCAGGCCTCAACGCTGTCTCAGGCCCCCAGCTAATCTCCATGTCCACCACTCACACTGATTTATCTTCCTTCTTTGCTGCTTAATTTTTAAATTGGACTTTCTGGGATGCTGCTCAGGCAAAGTGGATTAGGGCTGGCGTTTAAGTAGGCACCGTGGTATACATAAGATGGCTGGAAGCTGTGCAGTCAGAACTGAGGTTGAAGTTCTGATGCCGTGACTTCCTAGCTGTGTGACCTTAAGCTAATCATCAGCCTCTCTGGGCCCGTTTCCCCATCTGAACCTGCTTCCTAGAGCTGTTGGCAGGCATAAATGACAGAAGGGATGTATAGCATCCAGCATGTTGTGGCCCTAAATCATTTTTTTTACCCACTGCCATTGAGTTGATTCCAACTCATAGCAACCCCCATTGGATTTCCAAGGTGGTTAATCTTGATGGAAGTAGATTGCCTCATCTGTAGAGCAGCCAGTGGGTTTGAACCGCCAACCTTCTGGTTAGCAGTCAAATGCCTTAGGCACTGTGCCACCAGAGCTCCTTAAATTATCTTTATAGTAAACCATTACATTGATTATGAAGAGCTCTAACCTCAGAAAGAAAAAGTCCAGAGGCTGGTCTGGGCTCTGCCGTTCACTTCTGATCTTGGCTGTCTCCCATTTGTGAACTGCACGCACGCACACACGTGTGTGTTTATACGGAGAGGGAGTGGCTTGGGCTCTTCGAACATGGACATTCTTCTAGTTTAAGGGTGGGCAGCTAAAGGGATAGATTAGATTTGGGCTCAGCCAAAGGATACCTTTCTAACATCAGACAGCATGTGAAGTAGTGAGATTCCCAGCACTTCTCCTGTATTATGGAGAATGCCAGGGCGAGCAACCTCAAACGGCCAGGTGTGGAAGTCGGGGTAGCTACTCAGAGACACAGTGTCCATAGTCGTAGCTTACCCTCTGTCCAAAGCCACGCCTGGGGCCACTCACAGAGACCTACAGAGGATACGGGCAGTAGGGACACAGCACTTGGGTTCAGTTAGGAGCCTGACATGAACCAGCTGAGCAACTGAGCCGAAGTGCGACAGCCACAGTCACTGCTGCATCCAGCTCTCCTGCTCAAACGTCTGCAACTCTCAGTCCGGGGACTTGTCCTGGAGCAGCCAGGCCAGGGTGCAGGCACGTGGCAGCGTGAAGCAGCCCTCCGCCAGTGCCAGGCAGAGAGCTGGTGGACACATCCCCGACTCCCTCACCCTTGGTGCATCTGGGTGGGCTCCCGTGTCAGCGGCCACACGGGCCATCTGTCTCTCCTGCCTCCTTCCCTTCCCGTCTCAGTACCCTGCTCCCCTTCTAGGGCTTCCTGGCATCACCTCCTAAATCAACAGGGATCCTTGTTTTGGGGGGATCCAGACAGCCAGTTACTAAACCTCTTGGGCCTCCTCCATTCCTCCCAAGGCTGATGAAATGAGTCAGGAGACAGAAAGCAGTGTGTTTTCTTAATACATGAAAATAAAGAGAGAAAGAACCTTTATTTACTGCAAAACCCTATCCCCTCCCAGCCGCCCTCAGCAAACAGACCCCAGGTGATAAACAACCTTCCAGGCTCACGCGAACACTGCTCAACCCGAGGTCTGCGCTGTCCACAGCCAACGCACAGGCTGAGTGACGCCTGTCTGCTTGGCCCAGTGGAGCAGCGTCATGGGTGGGAGCCACTCCATTCTGGTCTCTCTGTGGGGCTCCTGGCCTCGCGGTCACAGGGCACGTTTATTCTGGAAACCCTATGTTCAACGAGACCTAGCCTGACAGCTGTGCTTGGGAGCCCGATGCACAGTGTGGCTTTGGTGATGGACATTTTCCGCCTCCTTCCGTCGCCTTCCCCTGACTGTGTGCTGCTCAAGAGCTCAGATTCTGGCTCGGCGCCAACCCACTGAAGCTCTGAGGGACAAAAGGCCGTCCCCGGGCAGTGCCCACCCTCCCTGGACCTCGATTTCCCATCTCTTTCCCAAGATCCTCCTTGTTGGCTGTGTTCATTTCTAGGCTCAGCTTCCAATTCAGCAACATGGGGCAGCAGCCCCAGGACTGGGATGAGACATGGTGACAGAGTAAAGCCTCGTGTGCAATGTGTGGAGCAGACAGGACTGGGACACACAACTAGGGAAGGTGTGGGAGAAGCGTTCAATGTCCGGGTACCCAGGTGCCTGCTGTGGGGCCCAGCTGCCCTGTGCCCTCCACTCCAGGGGAGGTGGCTGCATGATGCGGAGGGGGCCTACTCTCTGTAGTCCCCATGTTGGGGCACCTTCACCCCAGGATTCTCCTGAGTCTTGCAGAAATCTGCCCAGTGGGGGCCTCGTGCAGGCATGGATAAGCCCCAGTCCTCACAGGAGGTCCTCAATGATGGTGGCCGCGTACCCAGGACACCCTCATGAATGGGGTTCTGTGGAGGCCGTGGCCACCACCCTGGGAGGCTGGTCTGAGCTCTGAGCATTGTTAAGGGCAGGCTGGAAGGGCAGTGAGGACTTCCTTTCCTCTGAGATGTCCAAGGGAGCTAGGGATGCTGAAGGGAGACTAGCTTTCAGCTGCAGCCCACCTGAGGAGGGGTCCAGAGCCTTCAGGGGGCTCACGGGGGGCGAGGACTTGTCCCCACAGCAGCAGCCACAGCAGGGGCTGGCCACAGCGTGTGGCTCGCCATGCTCCTCCTGGCCATGATGCTGCTTCAGGTGGCCACACAGGTGGCAGGTGAGGGTTGAGTAGACAATGCCGCTGCCCAGGTCATCCCTGAAGGGGTCCGCGGCCTGCTCTGGGGACAATGGGGGCTTCTGGCTGTCCTCTTCCTTCACCACTGGCCCCAGACTGAGGTGCCCTGGGGAGCTGCTTGGGAGGCATGAGCTCTGTGGGCTGTGAGGGGGCTCCATGTCCAGACCAAAGGTGAACCGGGGGACCAGGACTGGGGCGGTGGCCTCAGAGCAGCCAGGAAGGAGGCTGTGGAAGGGCTTGTAGCTCCCCTCTTCACTGCTGGCCTCCCCTTCAGGTATCGCCGGGCAGGCAGCACTGCTGGCAAGCAAACTCGAGAAGGCCTTGTACCCAGCCTCTCCGGAAGGGTTGAAGCCCACTGCCGGGCCGTCCTGGCTCTGACCCTGCTTTACCGCACTCACAAACTCCCGATAGCCGCTGACAGGGGCTGAGGCCGCCTCGCTGGCAGGGGGCAAGGCGTGGGCCGGGGCTGCCCCATGCTGGAGGACGCTGTGGTGGAGAATCTGTTCCCAGGTCTCTAGCTCTGGCTCGTGTGAGGTGGTTTGCACCGAGGATGGAGGGGCACTGGGGGCCTGGGAGTCCGCTTCTCCCACATGTTCCGCCAGCTGCAGGTCTGAGTCCAGCTCTCCAGTGCCCGGGGCCTGGCTCAGCAAGGTGCTAAGGCTGCGGTATGCAGGGTTGTCTGTGACGACAGCGGGGGTCTCTGTGAGAGCCAGGCTGGTTGACTCCAGGGCAAGGAGGCCCTTCTCCTTGGGCCCTGTGCCAGGGAACTCTGCCCAAGGCATCTGAGTACTCCTGCCCCCTGATGGTGGAGAAAGGAACGACTCTCCCAATCCCTGATCCTGGCTCCCGAGGAGGTCCAGGAACAGGCTCTCTGTCAGCCGGGCCACGATGCCCTCCCTGCCCTCCGGGAAGCTGAGTCCACTGCTCTCTGGCGATGGGCAGAAGCTCCCTTCATCTTCCTCCACTTCCTCCTCGTCGCCCTCCACCGGAGCCTCACACAGCTCCACACACTGCACCACGCTGGGGCTCTCCGGCCAGAGCACCGTCTTGCTGAGCTCCACGGAGCAACAGGCTGACTTTGCAGGGCCCGGGAAAGGCCCATGCCTGGTGGCCTTGGGGACATCCTCGTCCTGTTCTTTCCTATGCTCCAGCAAACAGGGCAGGAGCTTGGTCAGACAAGTCTTCCAGCGTCTGCAAAAGAAAGACAAGTTAGATCAGGGCTCCGTTTCTGTTCTTGGAGAACTCCTATCCATCCTTCAAAGCCTGGCTTGAAATCACCTATCCTGATGTCTGACTGTAGCAGACATGCCTCTTGATTTGAGAATCAATAACCCACTACTCTCCTTTCACTATGTGCCTGGGAACTCGATGAGGGCAGGGCAGGCCTCTTCCTTGGAGATTTCTAGAGCCCAGCCTGTGGCCTGACACTTATTCCAAATTCAGTCTATTGAATAAAATAATATTTTTCAGGGATGATGATACGTAAAATACTTGCCAACACCATAGCATGAGCCAATGAGAATGGAGGTGGGGTCTGAGGGCTGGAGCAGGGTTCTGAGCGCCTGCTGACCGAGGGAGAAGCCCACTACTGACTGGACTCTGGGCAGGTTCATGGAGGAGCAAGGAGACCAGGGTGGTGGTGGGGCGCTGGAGGCTTTAGGACAGTGGCTGGCTGCCAATCAGTATGCAGTTATGTTGGAATTTTAATGACTGGGCACAGCTACCCCGGTTAACTCTATCAGCCTTGCTAAGGCCAGGCTGATACACCTAAGGACCCCAACCTTCTCCCCAAGGGGTTCAGCACATGCCAGACCCACAGATGAAACAGAGGTCTCCACCAGCAGATTGCTTACCAAGACCCCACCCCTTCTCCACCCCTTGTAGCCCAATGTCCCAGGACAACTGCCAGATGCCAGGGATAAAAGGGCAGATCTGGATGTGGGGTGACCCAGCCCCACATGGGCCCCCACCCCACTTCCATCACCTCAGAATCCACTCTGGCTACAATTTAGTTCATATACATACGGGCACTTGGCTGGTTTCTGGCCTCGGGACTGCATCCCCCATAGTGACACCTGAAACAAGAGAGACAGTCAGTGAGGCAGAGGTGAGCGGCCTCTGGCGTAGCCCAGCACATGGCAGTGCGGTGGAGTCTAAGCCTGGCAGGTCTGAGTTCTAACCATTCACCTGAGCTCTCTGAGTCCTGGCTTCCTGATTGGTCAGCCCTCCTTGGGGAAGGTGGGCAGCTCTGAGAATTAGCAAGACTGCTCTAATGTTACGAGGTATTGCGGCCAACAGCATTATGGCCATAATGCTCTGTGCTCCCTCATCCTTGAATCAGGCCTGGTCCTGCAACTTGCTTTGACCAACAGAATGAGGTGGATGACAGTGGGCTAGCTCAGGGCCTGGGCCTCAAAAGGCCTCACAGCTCCCCACCCATGAGACCAAGCTTGAGCTAGACCGCTGGGGGACAAGGCCCACGGCTCGGCCACCTCCCCTGAGCCAGACCGCTGGGGGGCAAGGCCCACAGGCTCAGTGACCTCCCTGCTGAGCTAGCCCGGTGGGGGACGAGGCCCATGGCTATGGCTCTGTCACTTCCACTGCTTCAGCTGAGAGTGTGCCAACTGTCAAACCTGTGAGTGAGACACTGGGGATAGGACGGCTCAGGTGAGATCTGCCCAGACCACCCCAGAACCCTTATCCCCTCCACTTAATCTCCCCTGCTCCCCCACTGTCCAGCCCACGTCAGAACCTCCCTGCTGGGCACACGCAGACTCCCCTCACCCTGAGCCCACTGCATAACCACTTCCCCCAACTAAGTCCAGGCTGAACTGCCCCTCTGCAGAAACATGACTGGAACAAGTGCCTGTTTTTGAGCCCCCAGCTTCTGAGGTGATTGTTGAGGCAAAACCTAAGTGACTGACCGGTGGCACTTTACCACACACTCTGAGTGGATTCTCTGTGAACCCCACATCTGTGCTCATGTTTTAACCACCAGGCAACAGAAGCTCAGAGAAAGTAAGCAACTTGCTCAAGTCCACATTGCAGGGAAGTGTGGGGCAGGGTTCGAGTTACTCTCACTGGACTCCAGGGCCTGCTACAGCCCAGCAGATCAGCAGCCCCTCTGTTCTCAGCAGGGCTGGTACTCTCCCCCTCCTTCCCAGAGAACCCTGATATCACTCAGGCAAACCCCATCCCCCACACTGCCAGTGCCCTGCACAAGCGACCACTCCCCCAGCTCAGGGGTGGCCACTTGCTGGTCTCAAGTTATTCCTAACAGATCACTTGCTGGCCTCTTTAGGAAAAAACATAGGATACAATTCAGGCCGATGATAACTGAGATCGGCTGGTGCTTCGGAGTCCTGGTAGCACAGTGGCTAAGGGCTTGGCTGCTAACTGAAAGGTTGGTGGTTCAAACCCACCAGCTGCTCCATGGGAGAAAGATGTGGCAGTCTGCTTCCATATAGATTATAGCCTTGGAGACCCCATGGGGGAGTTTTACTCTGTCCTACAGGGTCACGATGCGTCAGAATTGACTCAATGGCATGGGGATTGGGATGGTCCTTTAGGGCCGTATCCTGCTCATAAGAGAAAGTCACAGGAAGCTGTCTCTCTCTTCCTGGTGAAGGCACCTTCCCAGGAGATGACCCCAGCCTGGCTCCTTGATGGAGAATGCAAGGGGAGCCTGTCCTGACTGAAGAAGGGAGACTGCCTGCTTGGTTCCTGACCCTGATCCTGAGCTGTACCTTGTTACTTCCTTAACAAACCACTGACCTGTAAGTACAGTCTCTGTGCTCTGTGTGGCCACTGCAATGGATTACTGAACCCAGAAGAGAAGTAGAGTGCCATGGGAGGGACAGCTGGTGTCAGAACTGGTAAAAAGGTTGGAGATGGAGGCATGTGTGACCTTCACCTCATAGGAATCAGCCTTGGGCTGATCTTGATTCTCATTGTCCCACCTGAAGTTAGACAGGATCGGCTGCTGCTTCTCCTACTAACCTTTCACAGGAGTGAAAAGCCAGGAGACCAACCAGAGGAAGCCATGCAGGCTGGCCCCACAGCCATGGAAGCCGAGGGAAGGGAGTGAAGGACTGTGGGCACTCGACCACGTGGAGCTGCTGCATCAGCCTACCCGGAGACCTGCCTAACTTCTCACTGCTAATTCTGAAAGCCAGTCAATTTCCTTAACATCCCAGCCGTTTTAAATCGTACGATACACACAGTCCAAAGCATCCTCACCACACACTCTTACCTGAGAGTCCTGGATGATGATAGCAATGAGGGGGCTGTGGGCTGGGTTGGGAATCTGGTCCCACCATTCCTTCTTAATCCTGAAAAACAAAAGGGAAAGGTGTTGGTCTCCAAACCATTGACGGGCTCATGCTCCTCCCACAAAAATTATTACAGAGTTGGAACTGACTCTACAGAAGTGGGTTCTAGAATACTTGTTTGGCACTTAGCTACTATGCTGATTGAGATGTAAAACCACTGAGTCCTCCCACTAATTCTAAGAAGTGGGTTCTACCCATGCCTGTGGCTTCCAGCCAAACAATAGACAGGCATATGAATTGAACATTTACCTGAGGTAGATACGCTCCTTGGAGAGATCAATCATGGGAGAATAGAAGGGCTGCTTATGCACAGGGAGACAGCTCAGGCGGCAGGAGTGCATGGAGGGATGGACACAGGGAAGAGGTAACTATGGGGAGGAAGTAGGAGGGGAGCTGTTGCATTGTGGTAAATTGTGGTCAATGTCATGAGATAAAGTGTATGTGAACTGCTGTATGGAAAGTGAATTTGCTCTGTAAACTTTCACCCAAATCACAATTAAAAAAAAAATAAAAAGATATTAATCACACACACACAAAAAGAAGTGGGTCTACTATGAACCCCATTCTCCAGATGAGGACCCTGAGGCCCAGAGAGGAAAAGTGACAGCAGGGCCCACGCCCCAGCATCCTGCTACCCAGAATGGAGTTTCTGACATGGCCACCTCTATCCCCAGTAGGAAAAAGGCCCCCAAACACTACAGTCGGCCTGAAGAAATCAGGGGCTATTCAAGGTGCAGAAGAATTCTGGGTTTCCCATCACCCTCTCTGGAGTAGAGGAGGGCAAGGTGCCAGGGAGAGGCCTGGGATGCTGAAGGGACCTTTGGAGAACAGCCCTGGGTTTGCCGGGAGCTGGCGAGCATCAGCACTGGCCAGGAAGATCCTCAGACCTTCCCCCACAGACCTTCTGTCTCTGGGTCAGCCCCCGCCCACTTCCTCTAGTCTTTAACAGGCGTTGAGCACCTGGTGGTGCAGGGGCTAAGGCATTTGACTGCTAACCAGAAGGTTGGCAGTTCAAACCCAGCAGCCACTCCGTGGAAGAAAAATGGGGCAATCTACTTCTGTAAAGATGTACAGGGGTAAAACCCAACCTTGGAAGCCTAAAGGGGTCGCTGTGAGATGGAACCAACTCATTGGCAGTGGGTTTGGTTTTTGGTTTGTACTTTGTTCCACTCACTGTTGCCAGGCCCCGGTAACACAACAGTGGGCATGGAAATCCCCTGCATAAGCAGTGAGCTTACGTCAATGGGGGAGCAATGATTCAGGAAAAGAAGATGACACTGGTTGCACAACTTGAAGAATGTGATCAATGTCGCCAAATTGCACATGTAGAAATTGTTGAATTGGGGTACATTCTGCTGTGTATATTCTCAACAACAACCATTAAAATATTTTAAAACATAAAAGATAAGGGGGCAGAGAGGAATGGCCAGTATAGTCAGGGAAGGCTTCCTGGAGGAGGTGATTTCTGAGTAGTGACTGAATGAGGTGAAAGAGAGATGCTGGTGGAAGAGCGATGCTGGGGAAGTTTTCCAGGCAGGGTCACAGCAAGTGCAAAGGCTCTGTGGTGAGGACTTGCTGGGTGTGTTGTTTAAAGAACAGCAAGGAGGCTGGAGGTCTAGACACAGTCAGTGGGGATGGGAAGTGACAAGTGGCAGACAGTCAGGCCATTATGGCTGATTAAGCATGTTCTCCCCACTGCTCTCAGCCCCAAGAGCAGACGCCGGGCCATCACCGCTCCCATTTCAAAAGAAGACCCCAAGGCTCAAGGAGGCTCAGCAGCTCCTCAGGCATCAAGGCCAGGATTCAGCTATAGGTCCCTGACTCCATCAAGACAATCATCAAGGACTCTCGTCTCCTGCCACATGCCCCGAGTCCTGGTTTCTGTCTGGACCACCCCTGGGTACCCAGGGGGATAAGAGGACACAGGACAACTCCAGCTCCCTGTTCACAAAGCAGGTCCTTCCCCAGCTCTTCTCCGGCTGCTACTTCTCTCCAGTCAGGTCTCTACTCAAACATCCCGCCTCACAGAGGCCTACCTTGGCCCCTCCACCCAAAACAAAACCAAAAAAACCCAAACCCACTGCCATTGAATTGATTCCAACTCATAGCAACCCTATAGGACTGAGTGAAACTTCCCCAAGGCTGTAATCTTTATGCAAACAGGCTGGCACATCTTTTTCCTGCAGAGTGGCTGGTGGCTTCGAACTGTGACCTTTCAGTTAGCAGCGAGCACTTAACTGTTGTGCCACCAGGGCTCCTCCCATCCAAAACAGCACCGCCAAACCATCTCTCCCCTCCCTGCTGGTTTACCTTCTTCAAAGCACGGATTGCTACAGAAAATCACCTCAGTGACATGTTGATCTGACATCTTCTGTCCTCCACTAGGAGGCAGATTTTATGAGTGCAGAGGGTGATCAGTCTCACTCTCAGCTCTAGCCCCAGTTCCTTGAGCACAGTAGGTACCCAGTAAGTCTCCTGCTGAATGAGAGGACCATGAACTGACAGATGAGAGGGAAGCCCTTCTTGAAGCGGGTGAGGAGAACGGCCCTTTCCTCCAATCCCCCAGCCTGCACCCGCCACGGGTGCTCGGCAGCCCCTACGCTGACGGCCACCAGGACTCACCTGATGATGAGCCAGTAGCAGGACAGGCAGACGACCAGGATGAGGAGGCAGGTGATGATGACACCAACCAGCAGGCGCTGCATCAGAGGCTTCTCATAGTCTGGAAGCAGGAGGGGACGTATGAGTTGCCTTATTTTCCACGCTTTTATGTCTTCTAAGAGTGAGTTCACATCCGTGGAACGAAATCCACAATGGTTCTGTGGGCATCCACTGTGCTGCAAAGCCTATTGTGGAAACCTCTAGAGAACTAGGAGGCCCTTCTGTACTCTCAGAGAGCTGCAGAACTAGTTGGCACAGAAGGTAAGTAACTGAACGTTGCAAGGCTGTACAAGTATCCCTTCCATGTTGTTGTTGTTGTTATTTGCCGTCGAGTCGGCCCTGACTCATAGCGACCCCTCCTTGGGTTTCCAAGGCAGTATCACTACGGAAGTAGGATTGCCCAACCTTCCTTCCGAGGAGTGGCTGGTGGGTTTGAACCGCCAGCCTTCTGGTTAGCAGTCAAGTGCCTTAGGCACTATGCTTCCAGAGCTCCTGTTAGAGTATTAGGGAGGTGTGAAAGAGATATTGTCTCTTAAAGTGAGACTTCCCTTTAATTAGGAGGTGTTTGGATAATCGAACAGAGAACAATTTTTCTTATGTGAAACCAAACCCTTCCATAGGACAGAAAGAATGGCACAAGGTTCTGAAAGGTCACCCCATCTTGCTGAGCTTTTGGACCACAACAGCCCAGCATCTGCCTCCCGAGCTGGAGACCCTCCATGATCCCACCAGCCATCACTCACTTCAATTCCTCCTCTCATACTCCTGCTCACTGAGCACACGCCACACTGGTCCCCTGAGCCTCTGGAGCTCAGCGCCATCTTGGGACCTTGGACTTGCTGCACTCTCCTGTCTGAAACCCAGAGGTGAAGCTGGCAGACTCTGGAGCCAGACTTCCTCAGTTCAAAGCCTCACTCTGTCATATCCTTGCTGGGTGACCGAGGACAAGTCCTGTTATGGACTGAACCATGCCCTACACCCCCAAAACATGTTTTGGAATCCTCACCCCTCTACCTATGCATGTAATCCCATTGGGGAATAGGGTTTACTCTGTTATGTTAAGGAGGCCGTACCAGTGTAGGGTATGTCTTAACCTAACCACTTCTGAGTTAAAAGAGCAGACTGCACACAAAGGGTGGACAAAAGCAGGGGAAGGAACAGCTGCGACGTGAAGATGGCCATGGAACCAGGAGCACCAGGTCAATAGAAGCTAAAAGCAGGATCTCCTCCAGAGCGAACAGAGAGGCTTCCCTCACAGCCGGTTCCCTGACTTTGGACTTCCAGCATCCTCACCCGAGAGAATGCCCTGAACCTCTCTGTGTCTCCGTCTCTCACCTGTGCTATGGGTCCCTAACAGCACTTCTCTAACATGGCTGTGGGGAGGACTGCATATGCAGTCAACTCAGTGCCAGCATGTCCCGTAAGCATCTCTGGTTTTATGTGGCTGGCTCCTTCTCCAAATCCACTTCACTGGCACCTGCTCTGAGGTTCTCCTGACACCCTTACTGTTGCCCACTCCCATCACCCCCTCCCCTCATCCTGACTTATCTCATCTGGATTTGACTAACTTCCTGGTTTACTTGTTTCCCCCCAACCCCCCCGAATGTCAGCTCTATGTGTTGGGGAATTTTGTCTGTTTTGTCCTCTGTTGGTTCCCCCATGTCTAGTGTAGGCACATAGTAGAAGCTCAATGAACATTTGTTGGGATGAGTAATGAGCGTCCGGTACATTGTATCTATCTGTTGTTTCACCTTCCTTTTCTCCAGGTCAATGGTATAATCTAGTCAGTTCAACAAAATTTCCCCAAGTGCCTACTATGTGCCTGACCCTGTGGGCACAGAAGCTGTCCACACAGAGATAAAGCTGGGCTTGCAGCCCAGAGAGGGAGACAGGTCAACAGACAGCCATAATATAAGATGAGCAATGCTTAGAAGGACACGTGCCACGGTGGGTCGGGGAAAATGCTAACCCTGCCGTGCCCGGCACTGTAATAGACTCCTTTGAATTTTCCCAACAACCCTTACTCCTTTGCATTGGACAGATGATGACTAAGGAAACCTATCCCACCCAACAGCCATTTCCTCTTCTTTTTTCCTGGGCAGCAATGTGGCACCTGAGTTCCCAGGCTCCCTTGCAAGTTAAGAGAGGTCACAGAAAGAATGCTAGCCAATGAGAAGTAAGAAAGTCTGCTCAGGAAGCTTTGAGGAAGACTTTTACTTCCAGATAAAAGAGAGAGATGCATGAAGTGTCCTCCCTCATGGCAGCCTTGCTTTTCCATCCTGCTTTGGGCTCTGGTGCATGATGGTGTGTGCAGAGCAGCTGACTTCGGGCCATGATAAGGACAGCAGAGGGGAAGAAGGGAAGACTCTGGGGTAACACCACTGAACTGGGATGGGCCCCAGAGGGTTCACTTGTTAAGACTTCACACCATGTTTTTTTTTTAAAAAAAAAAAAAAAGACTTCATGGTATGTGAGATAAATCAGCATTTCTATTATAATTGGATGCAGAATGTGGAAATTAGTAAACAATATCACTAACAGCACACGAAAGTAAAATCTTGCTGAAGATAATTCAAAAACGGTTGCAGCAGTATATTGACAGAGAATGTCCAGAAATGCAAGCTGGATTCAGAAGAGGACGTGGAACAAGGGATATCATTGCTGATGTCAGATGGATCTTGGTGGAAAGCAAAGAACACAAGAAAAGTGTTTACTTGTGTTTTATTGACTATGCAAAAGCATTCGATTATGTGGATCATAACAAATTATAGATAACACTGAGAAAAGTGGGAATTCCAGAACACTAAATTATGCTCATGAGGAACCTGTACATAGAATGGAAGGCTATCATTCAAACGGAAAAAGGGGAGACTCCTTGGTTTAAAGTCAGGGAGGGTGTGCGTCAGGGTTTATCCTTTCACCATACTTATTCAATCTGTACGCTGAGCAAATAATCTGAGAAACTGGACTATATGAAGAAAAACATGGCCTCAGGATTGGAGGAAGACTCATTAACAACCTGCGATATGCAGATGACATAACCTTGCTTGCTGAAAGTGAAGATGACTTGAAGCACTTACTCATGAAGGTCAAAGAGTACAGTCTTCAGTATGGATTATACGTCAACCTAAGGAAAACGAAAATCCTCATAACTGGACCAACAAGCAGCATCATGATAAATGGAGAGATGACTGAAATTGTCAAGGATTTAATTTTACTTGGGTCCACAATCAACATCCATGGAAGCAGCAGTCAAGAAATAAGACGTTGTATTGCACTGGGCAAATCTGTTGTAAAAGTCCTCTTTAAAGTGTTGAAGAGAAAGACGTCACTTCGAAGACTTGAGGTGTGCTTAACCCAAGCTATTTTTAATCGCTTCTTTTGCATGTGAAAGCTGGACAGTGAATAAGGAAGACTGAAGAAGAGTTAATGCTTTTGAATTATGGTGTTGGCGAAGAATACTGAAAGCATCATGGACTACCAGAAGAACAAACAAATCTGTCCTGGAAGAAGTACAGCTGGAATGCTCCTTGGAAGCAAGAATGGCCAGACTTCGTCCCACCTTCTTTGGACATGTTGTTAGAGGGGGCCATTCCCTGGAGAAGGATATCACGCTTGGTAAAGTGGAGGGTCAGCGAAAAAGGGGAAGGCCCTCAACAAGATGGAATGACACAGTGGCTGCAATGATGGGCTCAGGTATAGCAGGGATGGTGAGGACAGCACATGACCAGGCAGCGTTTCATTCTGCTGTGCACAGTGTCACTATGAGTCAGAGCTGACTCGATGGCACCTAACAACAACAACAACACAACAATGCTAGATCTTGTTGTTTAATGTGTTTGTAACAAAAACATCTATTCCTAGATAAGAAATGTGTTTATGAATATTTTATAACTGTATTTCGATACAATTAGTTTCTTTTGTAATCCTTTGTATTTTATTTCATGCATTTAAGAAGATTATTCTGAGATGGGGTTCATAGGTTTCACCAGACTGTCAAAGGGGTTAAAAATCTTTGCCTTTGTGGATGATGAAGCCTCAAAGATGGAGGGAACCAGCCCCTAATTCCCCACAGGAAGGAAAGCCACCCACAAACTAGCAATATTGACACTGGACAGTGACTGGAGCAAAAAATAGACTTGGATTGTGTTAAGCCACTGAAAGTGTGGGCTTATTTGTTACTGCAGCCTTGTTTACCTATCCTAACACCATGTCAGCCAGTAGTTCTGTCATCTGAAGTTAGAGGCGTTCTACAAAATAGGTGCTCCTCCAGGGGAAGGGTCTGGCCACAGGCTAAAAGGGTGGGGCTCAGATTCTAGGTTCAGGACCCCCATACTCACTGTTGTACCACTTGCGGCTGTGGCTCCACTCACTCCAGGTGCTGTTATACTGTGGAGACCGAGTCTTTACCCTCGCACTGTAGAAGACTCCAGACTTGAGGGACCTGGCTGGCACATGAAGGAAGGGCTTCAAGTAGGTCACGTCTTGGGTTTTGAACTGGTAGCGGAAAGGGAGACATTAGTGCACCACAGGCACCATGACATAATAAATGTGTGTTGGTAAAGCTGCTAAGCTTGTACTGATGTTATAATGTAGCAGCGGAACACCAGCCCACAGTGATGAACACACATGCTTGCTAGTAGAGGTACGAATTCTCTGGGGTGGGGCTGGGAGCTTTCCAATTACAGAGGAGCTGAGGCTGGGGTATGACACACCCCTCCCATTCCATCTTTCTAAATCCAAGTAGGCAAAAGACAACACTGGATTTATTTCACCAAATTAATCATACACCCTGGAAAGGAGGGGGGAATTGGGAGATGTTTTACTAAGAAACAAAGGAGAAACCGGAGCTTCCCAGGAACTAACTGTGGTTTTGTTTGGTTTTGAAACAAAGCAGCCAGGTGCTCAGGAGACCACCTCTGACAGGAACACCTGGGGAAGAGAAACAGCACAGGCTCTGAAGCCAGACACCTGGTTCAAATCCCAGCATGGCCGCTTTGGCTGTGTGACCATGGACAAGCCTCAGTTTCCTCATCTCTAAAATGGAGGAACAAATACCTTCCTACCTGCAGTTTTCATAACAACTGGTGGTGGTCTATGTTGTGCCAGGAATGTACTAGGTATATAAGAGATGGTAACATTGTTATCGTGAGCATGGCATTCACAGCCCTCAACAAACCTATGGCCTCGTTTTCTACTTTTTCCGTGTAAGCACCTCCACATCCCACTGTCTTCAGATACTCCACGAATGCCCACACGTCCAAGCTTTTGCTCATTCATGCTGTTCCCTCTGCCTTCTGCCTGGCCTACCGTTTCTTCCCTTCCCCATCCAGGAAACCCTTATGGGTTTATTGCTCAGGTCAAAACTCCACTGCCTGTATGATACCTTGCTACGTCATGCATTCCCACACAAGGAAACTACTAGCTCACATCCCCAAAACACCACAGTAAGTTCCTAGTATCTCTTCTTAGATGGTATGGGCCTGAGGATAGCTGTTCAATGCTGTAATAGACACGGGCAGACACTGCCCAGCCTCATACAGGTCAGATCAGGGAGCCTTGGTCTCCAACTCCCGGGTTAATCCCACTGCTCTAAGATGAGGAACAGTGAGCAGAAATAGGCTCCCTTTACACCACACTGGGAATCGGGGGCCCAGAGAGGCTGAGTGACTTTAGCCAGGTCTCTACGGCCTCAGCCCTGCCATGTTCCAGGCATCCTATGAAGCCCCAGGGCCGTCCCTCCACCCCATGCTAGCTCTTGTTGCAGAGCCTGACTTTCCACCTGTCCCAAAAGATTCCCAAGAGGTAGTGAGAAACCCCCAGGGTGTGCACTCACGTCCGAGGGGTCGTTCACGTTTGAGATATTGACCAGGTAGACAAGCTCCGAGTGCAGGTGATTCTCAGGGAGGTATGGGTTGTTCCACGTCAGCAGCAACGTATCAGAGGTGTTCTTGTGAACCGTGAGATTAGTGGGGGCCTTGGGTTTGACTGTGGAAGAAGCAGTGCCTGCCTGAGGGGCATGGCCGGGTGGCAGGAAGAGACACAGCCCCTGCCTAGGACCTGGCCTCACAGAACATTTCTGTAGTACATTTACGGGATACTGCACAGATGGAGAGCCAATCTGGAGAGTTACAATCATGATACAGATCAGAATGTACTTGAGTGTTTATTATAAACTCCCCCCCAAAAAAAACCAAACTCACTGCTGTCGAGTCAGTTCGACTCATAGCGACCCCTCCTTGGGTTTCCAAGGCTGTATCTCTATGGAAGTAGATTGCCCAATCTTCCTTCCAAGGAGTGGCTGGTGGGTTTGAACCGTGAGCCTTCTGGTTAGCAGTCAGATGCCTTAGGCACTACGCCACCAAAAGTATTTAAAAAAAAAAAAAAAAAACCCTCACTGCCATTGAGTCAATTCCAACACATAGCAACCCCCATTGGGTTTCTGAGGCTATAAATCCTTATGGAAGTAGATCGCCCCATCTTCCTTCCACAGAGCAGCTGGTGGGTTTGAACCGATGACCTTCTGGTTAGCAGCCAAATGCCTTACCACTACACCACCAGAGCTCCTTACCCATACCACAGTGAATGTAAAAGTATAAGCTAAAGTCCCCAAACATCAGCTTTTTCACTTTTCTCCTTCACATCTTTGTCCACATCTAGGTATAATCTTATTAGTTGCTAAGTTTTTTGTCTATTTGTTTGTTTACTTTGATTGATTCACTTTTTTTTTAAATTTTATTGTGATTTGGGCAAAAGTTTACAGAGCAAATTCATCTTCCATACAGCAGCTCACATACACTTTGTCTCATGACATTGACTGCAATCTCCCACAATGCAGCAGCTCTTCTCCCACCTCCTCCCCAGAGCCACCTCTTCCCTGTGTCCCTCCCTCCCATGCACTCCTGCCCCCTGAGCTGTCTCCCTGTACATACACAGCCCTTCTACTCTCCCATGATTGATCTCTCCAGGGAGTATATCTACCTAGTGTAAATGTTCAGCTCATAAGCCTGTCTTTTGTTTGGCTGGAAGCTACAGGAGTGGGTTCAGTTCCAGACCTGGAGGGCTGTTAGGGGCCGTAGTTGTCAGGGGTTCCACCAGGCTCTATCAGACCAGCAAAGCTGGTCTTTTTTTTTTTTTTTTTTTTCCCCTTTTTTTTTTTATGGATTGATTCACTTTTAAAAATCATTTAGTTTCTTTTTAAGCAATCATATCCATGAGGCCACAAGTATGTGATATGCACAAACTCAATATATAAATACAAAAGTAATTTTAAAGTTCATCCATGGGTCAATTTACATCATCCTGCAACCACCAGTGAGTGTGCATAGACTCTTCAGGATATACTGATGGAATGGTTAAGAGGGTGGGATCTACAGAGAGACCTGGCTTTGAATACCACTTCTGCTGCTTCATAGCTGTGTGACCTTAGGCAGGTTACATGCCTTCTCTAAATTATAGTTTACTCAACTGTAAAATAGGAATACGAACTGCCTTTGGGAAGCTGAGGCTGAGAGAGGTAATGTGACTTGTCCGAGGTCACACAGCAGTGAGTGATGTTTCAAAACTTGTCACTACACTCCAATAAGCTCATGGGGGAATTCCAACAGGCTCCAAGGACCAGGATAAGCATAGAATTCCATGGTCCACAGCACTTGCCCAGTTGACAGAGGGTGGAAGGACTGTGCCCAGCTTGCTCTTTGAATGCAGCAAGCATGCCTTCAATCAAACATGCTCCACCTTAACATCCCTCCCTGGGTACTTCAGTTCAAGAGGGTGAAGTATCTGAGTAGCTGATGTATTGCTGAGTCCCATCTCACTTTGCAGATGGATTGGCTGAGGCCCAGAAAGGGGCAGCAAGCCATCACACCTGCTGCTTGGATCCTCTCCCCTACCTGGTGCCTGCCCACCTTGTCCCAGAGCCCAGCCAGCTGTGGGCACAGCTGCAGCCCCTGCCCCTACCCCACCCCTACTCACCATGGTGGCTGGGCTTGAAGGAGTCATCCCACAGTAGCTGCTGCCCAGCCCACAGTTGCAGGATATAATTGTCCACACTGTATATGACATCCATTAGCATATTGCACAAGCACACTGCGTCTTCCTTGTTCTTAGGGACACACGTGAGGTTTCTGCACACACAAGGTGGCTGGGTTAGGTTGGTTGTGACCCACAGTTGTCCCCAGGACATGCTTCAGGGAGCCACACACGCTCCCAGCTTCCTGATTGCCCTGATCTGGAGACTCAGGGGTGGTCAGGGTTTGGTGGACAGCAGACTAGGACTGCCTTCCTAGCTGACTACAGCCTCACCACACTCACCGTGGATGCTCCTACAGCCCTTGCTACAGGCCTTGGCCCCAGGACTATGCTCATCCCTGAAAACCACTCAAAAGGGAAGAATTCATGGCATGGTTCTTACTGAAACTACTCATAACAACACATGTGTGTATCTCCTGACACCTGTGCAGCAGATTCTCCCACTGTATGGCAGCTCATGGTGTATCTTGGCATGCCGCCCATAAACATGTGCCCTGTGCAACAAAGAATGATCCTAATGGACACCTATAACAGCCAACCCACACCTAGGCTAGGGGATCGGCCAGGAGTCTGTAAACTTCTTCTATAAAGAGCCAGACAGTAAATATTTTAGGCTTTGCAGGACACACAATCTTTGTCACAAGTACACAACTCTGTTATGTGAAGCAGCCATAGACTATGCGTAAGCCAATGAGCATGGCTGTGCTCCAGTAAAACTTTATTTACAAAAACAGGCAGTGAGCCGAATTTGGCCCACGAGCTATGGTTTGCTGTTCCCCGGTCTAAGCCAATGTAGCCCACACGAGAGCACAGCCCGTCTGCTTTATTCTATTACGGAGTATCCTCTCTGTCTGTGTTCCATCTACTGGGGTGCTGTATAGTCAGTGAGCATAACCACGGGCCTCATGTACTCAATTATGTTGGGCACCCCCTACAACAGAGCCCCCCACGCACCACAGACTATCGCAGTAAAACACGTGGAACAATGTTCCCCACATCCCACAATCCATCAGCCGTCCCAGGGAGCGCCACCTCTAACACGACACCCCACCCCACAACAAGGATCCAGCACAGAGGGTCTCAATGTGTGGCCCACGGTCCACTATGCCCAATTTTTTCAAAATAATACTAAGATGTTATTTGGCTTTTTCACTCTTGTTCTCTCAGGAGTGTGACTACAGCCAAACAGCACATGATGATGAATGATGTCGTAGCTCTGATGGCTCAGGGAATGTGGGTTTGTGTGTTCTCGTGATTTGAAATTGCTCAGTTTTCATTTCTAACAGGGTAAATACTGGTAGCTATACTCTACCTAGACAAAGCTTTTTGGGTCCTCACTAATTTTTAAGTGTGCAGAAGGGTCCTGAGACAAAACTGTTTGACAACTGCCGGTCTAATCCCATAGTCCACCCACGATGAGTCCTATCAAACATCCACCCATCGCGTCCACATCCAACCCCCTATCCAATAAGCCACAGAGACCACATTCACCCTCCAGGGCACCACGTGGACCAGGCCTGTGGGCACAGCCACCCGTGGCCCCAGCTCCAGCCCCGCTTACTCAAAGGGCTCAAAATCCTGCTTGTAGTACAGAAGGAGCCTGGTGCTGCAGTTGGTGGGACCGTCCATCTTCCACTCACAGGTGGAGGTGCTGTCATAGTCGGAGAAGCAGGTGGGCTTATGCAGGACCTTAATGCTGCCTGGGGAGACACAAGAGCTCTGAGCAGCTGTGAACCAACAAGCAAGGGGGACATGCCACTGAGCAAGTCAGAAACGAGGCCAAACTAGACCAAGGGGACAATCAAAAATAAAAATAAAAAAAAAAACACAGGCCCAGGCAAAGTCACATGCTATTTCCCACCAGCTGGAGCAAGGACCAGGGTCAAGTATGGAAGCCAACTAGCACAAAGGGGTTCCTGAAGCTGAAGAGATACCCCTGGGATACAGAAGACATTAGTGGGAATTGAACCCAAAGGACCTTTATCTTATGCCAACTTAATTACCTGCCCTTGGCCAAATTAAAGAAAAAAATACATCAGCTGTTTAAGGAGTCTTCTATAAAATTCATAGCAAGCTTCCATAAGCTTTCTACCATAGCTAGCCCCTGCCCTGGAGCAGTGGGAGTAGGGAGTACTAATGCCAGCTCCCACCTGGCACTGCACCCCTTTCATCTCTTCTCCATCCTTCCCTGCCTTTTCTGTGCCCAGGAGGCTGACTCATGGTCTCCACCACCAGGCTCCTTTGTCCTCTGTCTTCTGGCTGAATTCTGCCAATGAGAGGAGGAGATGGAAAGGCAGGAGGAGAGATGACAGTATTTCTCCTTTCAGCTCCGTCCCACCTAGTCGGGGGACAGAGCAGGGACCCGAACCAACAGTCTGTCATTTGGGTTTGTGTCCAGACGAAAGTGTCTGAAAGTCATAGCCCTCACTCCAGCTCAGTGGGAATTTCTTGCCTACGTGGAGCACACACCCACCATGAAAACAAATCCACTGCCATCAAGTTGATTCCGACTCACAGTGACCCTACAGGACAGAGCAGAATTTTCCCATAGGGTTTCTAGAGCTATCATCTTTATGGAAGCAGACTGCCACATCTTTCTCCTGCGGAGAGGCTGGTAGGTTCAAAGTGCCTACCTTTGGGTTAGCAGCTAAGCGCTTAAGCACTGTACCACCGGGGCTCCTATGCACTCATCACAGCCAAAGGTTAATTTGCATTGGTTTCAGTGACTAAAGGACTCATCATTTCCAAGCAAGGTCCTTGACATCTCATAAATATCTCAAATTTATCTCAGATCCAGAACAAACTCTTGACTTCCCCCTAAAACACCTGCTCTACCCACAGCCATCTGCATCTGCATCCTTCTGTTATCAGCTCAGGCATCTTGGGCTCACTCTTGTCACCTCTCTCTCTCTCTCACCCCAATTCCAATGGGTCTTCAACCCTCCCATCCAAACAGGCCCAGAAGCCCCTCTCCCCTCCTCCATGGTCCTAGCAGCAATTTCTCCCTTGCTCGGTTTACTGCAGTGCTTCCACCCTGTTCTCCACACAGCAGCTGAGGGGTCCTTTCTGATACTTTTTGGACATTATGCCACTCCTCTACTCAAACCCTGTCAAGTTCTACAGGACTAGGCCACCCTGGTTCTTTGCAACCTCATCTTTTCCCTTGTGGTGCACACCCTGCTCGACCTCACTGGTCTCTCTGCTGTTGCTGGAACATTGCACTATGTTTTTGCTGCAAAGCCTCTGCCTAGAATGCTCCTCGCACAGGAACACCATGGCTCCCTCCCAGCTGCACGGCTCCCTCTCAAGGAGGCCTTGACTCTCCGGCTTTAAATTGTAATGCCCCCACGCACGCTACATTCCAGTCCTCCCCGTTGCTATGGAGTTAATTCCAACTCAAAGTGACCCCACAGATGAGTAGAATTGTGCTCCACAGGGTTTTCAACGGCTGGTTGTTTCTGAAGGAGATCTCCAGGCCTTTCTTCTGAGGTACCTCAGGGTGGCCTCAAACCACCAACCTTTCAGGTAGCAGCTGAGCACTCACCCATCTGCACCACCCAGGACTCTGGCAATTCTCCCCTACTCTGCTCTAAATGATCTTTGTTTCCATGGCACTTATCACCTTCTAACAGTCCTTGGAATTTACTTATAATTAGGGTCATCTGTCACCATCTGTCTCTTCCTACTTCGATATAATCTCCTCAAGGGCCGCCATCTTCTTTTTTTTCAGTGACCTATCCCAAGTGCCGGGCCCATCGCTGGCAGTCAGGAAGCCTGTGCTGAATGAATGGGTAAGAGGTGGTGACTTACCAGAGCCTGCCGCCCACAGCAGGATCAGGCAGCTCATGGGAAATATGAGCCCTGAGCAAAGGCACCCCATCGGGAGATCCTAAAGCACCTGCTGTGAGAAAGAAAGCCTGGTTAGTGCCAGCCTGGTTTCCACCATGTCCGCCATCCCACGTGTAGCCCTCGGAGCTGACCTCACTTGAGATATACCCCACCCAGGCCATCCATGTCTATACCAACAATGCCCCACCCTGTTCATCAGGGCACTGTTCATAATCATGAAACACAACCCAGATCCCAGAGCGTGGAACATGGAATACCTGCCCCAAGGGATGCTTCTTGAATCAAATCCCATGGACCATTACTGAGTTATCTAGTGCTGTTATAACAGAAATAAGCACAAGTGAATGGCTTTATCAAACACAGATTTATTCTTTCACAGTTTAGGAGGCTAGGAGACTGGATTCAGGGTACCAGCTCTAGGGAAAGCCTCCTCTCTGTTGGCTCTGGGGGAAGGGCCTTGTCCCCTTTCAACATCTGTGAGCTCAACCTCCCTTGGAGATCTCCATGTGTCTTGGCATCACTCTTCCCCCAGATCTAGGAGGTCCTCAGCACAGGGTCCAAAGGACATGCTCTGCTTCTGGCTCTTCTTTCTTGGTGGTACTGAAGTCCCTCCTTCCTGGCTTGCTTCTCTCTCCTTTTATCTCTTGTAAGAGAAAAGGTGATTTCTGCATGTACAGCACTGCATTGTCAGTGCTGCATCTATCCACCCACAGGTGGATAGACAGGTGGACAGGCTGAATGATCAAGTACGTCTAGGCGGGGGGGAGTGTGCCCATGACCATGTATAGCGTTGGCATTCGATGTTTCTACATGTGTGCTTGTGTGGGTAAGAATGTCTGGGTGTATAGTTGAGCTGACAAGGCACAAGGTTGTGGTGGTGACTTCTTGGCTACAGCCATCTACCCTGAGGGAGTGACTAGTTGGACCTGTGGGCTTGGGACCATGGTCACAGGGGACATCAAGTTCAATTGGCATAACATACTACACACAAACGTCGTTCTATATCCTACTTTGGTGAGTAGCAAGTCGGGTCTTAAAAGCTTGCAAGTGGCCATCAAGATGCAATGATGCATCTCTTCTTGTCCAGAGCAAAGAAGAAAATGAAGAAAACCAAAGACATGGAAACAATTAGTCCAAAGGACTAGTAGACCATGCAATCCTCAGGACCATGAGACCAGAAGAACTAGATGGTGCCCAGCTACCACTATCAACCACTAGGAGGGATATCGGTGCTGGAGATCCTGGACTGAGTGGAAGAACAATGTGGAACAAAACTCAAAGTCAT